GCATTAAAAATAACCTTTTGAGTGTATACTGTAAAAAATACAGGGTTCCACATAATTCATTCATGTTGTCCCAACACAAATCCGTTACGTTAATGTAACAAATGTTAGTAGATTGAACATAAAACAATTAATTCGTCCCAAAACAATCTCAAGAAATGTGTTGTTTCAGCTCATTTTAAATGCGTAGTTTGAACAAGCTACAATATTTTTTACAATATTATCCTTCTTATGAACAGCCTCTACATTTCTAAAATTAAGTTTATAGTCAATAATTGTGCCTAAATGCTTAAAATTTGAGACCTGCTTTACTATTTTTCCATTTATGATGACTGTTTTTTTTTAAATCTAGTTTCTACTGCTCTTGTTTGACTTCCCAGACATAGCTCTTTTGTTTTTCCAATATTAAGATGTAATGATATCTTAATATTATATGCATTTCTACAGAAACATGTTAATATGCATCTATCAATCAAATCGGTGGATAGGGAAACTCCACTCCTATGTCACGTTGTAGTGGGCCTCAAGATGGGAGAGATTTGGACCCTATTTTAACATCAGGAAATAAAAAAAAGAGACCTATTGTCTTTATATCACTCCAGTATGACTGTGGACACACTATACTTACACACAGTTCTGTCCAAACAGCTTCCAAAAGATGATTTTCATCATAGGTGCCCTTTAAATAACTATAAAAAGCTTCACTAGCTAAAAAAAATCATTGTTTTTATGCCCTGACACAAAACACATTTCAGTAATCACGTCAGCAGCACATGTGACAGTGGGGAATGAGTACTAGTCAGGTGCAATCAATAAGTGCGTTGGTCACATTTTACAATAAGGTTCATTAGTTAATGTTGCTTAATGCATTTACTAACATGAACAAACAATGAACAATACATTTACTACAGAGTTTGTTCATGTTAGTTAACGTTAGTTAATGAAAATACAGTTGTTCATTGTTAGTTCATGTTAACTTACGGTGCATTAAATAATGTCAACAAGCAAGAGTTTGGATGTTAATAATGCATTAGTAAATGTTCAGTTATGATTAATAAATGCTGTACATGTGTTGTTCTTGATTAGTTCATGTTAGTAAATGCATTAACTAATGAACCTTATTGTAAAGTGTTACCAGTGCGTTCGACATAAAGCACAGCTGCAGCCGGTGATCAGCGAAGTTAGCCGAGCGCAGGCAGGGGCGGAAGTGAAAACAGAGCTGTCAAGCCAGACAGCTGGAGACTTCGGGGCTCAAAGTTGCTGCAGTCATGATGACCGATCACATGGCGTCATCATAATTATATTATTATTTTTTTATTTATAGCAACAAAAGATTTACAAATAAAACAGAATACAGTCTCTACAAATAGTTCATTTTTAAACAATAAGGGAACTATGAATTAAATTTCTAACAAATGCATGAGAGAAATAAGGGTAAACGGTAAACTATTAAACACAAAGCAGTAAGCACAAATTCTAGGAGTTTAAACATCACTCTAGGCTAATTACTTCTTGTTTGAATATGCTAAAAAGGCTTTACATTTATAGATATAAAACGTTCTAATATTTATTAATGTTAAACCCAAAACAAGCTGTTTTGATCTTAAACAATGATTAAGATTATATTGGATAATGAAAGCATTTTCAAAAAAGCATTTTAATCCAAAAAGATTGAACAAAAGGTAAAATAAGTGAGCTACACTTTAAGCAGATGTTTCCCAGAAAGAGCAGATATAAACGGCTAGCCAGGAAATAAAATATACATTTATATTATAATCATAAAATCATTTTATAATTATTTAATAAAATAGTTTTTTTACGTAATTTGTTAAGAAACCTTTAGGGTGTCAGGATCAATGATGGTAATCATTTTATTTCAAGTCTATAAGACTTATTTGAGTTATATTTAGGTTATTTACTAAAATATGTCATTTAAATCGTTCATGAAGCTGAATGCAGTAAATAGTCTGTATAAAAAAGTTGAAAAGAAACCCATGCAAGCAAGCCAGCCTTTATAACCAGATTATTTAACAAAACATGATTACTTCAGTAAAATACTTGTAGCCTTTTAATAAGCATGATGTGTAAAAGATAGAGATGTATGAAAAGTGAATTGTTTGTTTTGAAACTTTTGAATCCAATAATAAACCCGAAACACACGTGTTTGTTGTCATGTGGTGAACTCGGCCATTTGTGTAATATCGGTGTCGTCATCAGAGCCCCTGCAGCCGCTATTCAGATGCTGCACGGTCTGATTCAGTTGTCTAATCTCGGAACGCTGTCGCTGTACTTTGATGGCACATGTGACAGTCACGTGGCGTCGGCGCAGCATCATTCCGGACAAAATTTCTAACCAGCATGCACCTCTTTAAGACAGATTTCGATTGATCTGCGCAGCGCTGCATGAAGTCGAACGCACCTATTGTCACACTGACTGGATTGTAACAACAGACTGATTACTAACATGAGGGTACAAGTGCTTTTAATTATTGCCTTTTTTTACCAATGGTTACCTCAAAGCCATGGTTACCCCCTTTTTGCATCAAAATGACCTCACGTGCAAAGAAACTACTACAAAGAAGATTGCATCTGTAAAAAAAACAAGCATTTACCGGATCGAAACCCTCAAAGAGAGTGGTTTGAATTCATGATAAAATTCAGGACATCCCAGAGCGTCCTGTAAGCACCATCTTTTTTGTAGGATCATATCCCCACCAGTGCAGAGCTTGGTCAAGAAAGGCTGCAAGTGGATTTTGGTGCATCTACATGTACAGTGAGGGGAAGACTTTTGGATAGTGGCCTGTTTTCAAAGAAAACGGTTTTCTTCAAGAAATGCATCAAGGACAAACTAAAACCCTGCAGGATGTACAAGGATTGGACAGAAGAAGACTGGTGTTAAGTAGTTCTCTCTGATAAAGCTTCCTTCTGACTATTTGAGACAACTGGAAAATCAATTGTCTGGAGAAGAAACGGTAGATGCTAAAGGGTGCAACAATACAGACTTCTCACAGTTCGGTTTTCATTTTTAGGGTCACGGTTTTTGGTATGGTTTGGTATATGATATCATATGTTCAGTAAAAAAAGGACACTGTCAAATAAAAAAAAAAAACTTTACAAGCAAAATACAATACAAAAGGGATACAGTATAGTGAAGATACTACAAATGATACAGTTCTTTCCAGGTATCTAACAGCAGTTTTCAATAACATATTTCAGTATAACACTGAATACTGTATATATTCTTCACCATATAAATTCAATAAAGCTTAAAGGGTCATGAAACATCAACACATTTTTTGAGCTGTTGACAGTCACATATGTGTCCCATGCTGCTAAAAACACTATTAGTACACAAATTAGTGAAAATTGGTTGTTGTTGTTGTTTTTTGCGTTATTTTGAGCAAATTCGTACTTTCAGGTTGAAATAAATATTTAAAGCTGCGTCACGGCCATGAGATCTTATCGTGTATTCCAGCGTGTGGACTGGACATCTGTACCTGGGAGTACCTTATTACGTCTCTGAGTGTGCTGCATTAATTCAGTTTGTCTTTCATACAGTTGGTGTTGATTGTCCTGTCTCTACAGATTTAGTAAGCGGTCAGTGGTCTTTGTTCATATGGCAAAGTTAGTTCGTATCGTCAGCAGTACTCTTTAAGTGTTTAAATACGGACCTTAGTCAAATGATTTCTTACGTTAATATCACTACAATATTATAGACTGAAAAAGCTGATGAAAATGCTGCACTTCGAGTGTAAACATGCTAGCACCACAATCAAACTTTTTCCGTCGTGCAGGATTTTCACCGTATTTTGTGACAGGAATAACACACACTGCTATCAGATGCTACCTACAGAGTGCATCTTAGTTTCCCAGAAATGCAGAGTTTTTTTTTTTTTTCTTCTCTCATTCGCCGTGCGGTAAAAAACATTGCATGAAAAATACACGCTTAGAGCAGTTCCTCGAATCAAATATCTCGTTTGTCACGAGAGGCATGAATGAAATTCCTGAATAAAAGAGCCAAACTGCAGTTAAAGTCCACCATTTAATAATTTGCCAAATAATTTTAATACTGATGTCAATTTAAACAGTCACTGTCTTTCTCCCCTGTGTGTGTGTGTGTGTGTGTGTGTGTGTGTGTGTGTGTGTGTGTGTGTGTGTGTGTGTTTGTGTGTGTTTGTTTTGCCTCTGTGAAAATCAACGCATGCCCAATCCGACACTCCCATTTTTATGCAAATTTTTACAGACCTTCCCTATTTGGCTCCTCCGACAATCCCCCTAAACAGAGCTGGACACGCCCACTTTCCTGACTTTTTCCAAAGTGAAAAAACCCTGCTGAAACGGGGGGTTCATGGCCCTTTAACCATTATTGAGCTATATAGCTACATTTTAATAAGGAATCACCAATAAGATTAAACAACAACTGTCCCTTTGGTTTAATTTCTAAACTTTCGTATCAAACAAAATCTGCAGAAGCGCACGTCTGGTCCGATCCCCTCCCCTTTAGAATCTTCAGTCTATATTAATATGGATCGCTGATTGGCTCTTGTATTAGAATGTGGGTCTTTATTGCCAAATGACTGTTACACTTTTTCCTATTCAAAACTATAAGAGTGACATGTCTTGTGTATTTGATAATCTTTGTTATAACATCTGCACAGTTACCATACTGTTATGACATTGAGAAAGTGTGCAGGTAAATGGGAAATTACACTGTTTAAATATGTGTGTGCTGCATCTCAGCTGTGAGATGTCACAGTGAAGTCATTTATATTCATACATCTTAGTATGACAGGGGTTTCATCAGCACAGAGGTCTGAAATGAAATAAGTGTCACTTCGTTGGAGCATGACCAAGAGTGACATCATAGGAAATAATTACCAGAGTTTTACCAGACGATTACACACAAAGACGCCAAATAATTTTTAATTACTATCCTCCACCTCTTTCTCTCCCCTTCACATTCTCTCATCTCCTTCTAATCAGTTGTTCTCTTTGTGTTACAGGGTAATGCTTAGTCTCAGAAATGCCGTACGTAGATCGTCAGAACCGGATATGTGGCTTTTTAGACATCGAGGAAATGGAGAACAGTGGCAAGTTTTTACGACGCTACTTCATTCTGGACACGATGGACAGCAGCCTGATGTGGTTCATGGATAACCCTCAGGTACCAATCATTCTACTTCTTCTTCACTCAGTCAATGCTTAGCTGAATGTAGTTGCTGTCAATTTGACATTTTCCTGCCCTTGCTTTTACTCCTGAAAAAGTCATTACATTTCAAACATGTACATTTATTGAATATGGCATTGTTATGTTCATCTGGGTCTAGTCTTTGATCCATTGTAGTTTCACACAGTGATGCTTGATATTATGGTAATGCTCTATGTATTGGCCACAGTGGTGCAAAGTAACAAATTACAAATACTCAAAGTACTGTAATTGAGTAGTTTTTCCTCAGGAATTGTAATTTACTAAGCAGTTTTAAGATTGTGTACTTTTACTTTCCTTTGAGTACATTTTTAGTGCAGTATTGGTACTTTTACTCCACTACTTTCCTTCAACCTGCAGTCACTTTATTTTTCCTTGTCTGTGAGGATTAGAAAAATCAGCGCTGTATTTCCTGTCTAATCAAATCTCACATGCAAGGTAAATCGCAATATAATAAACTACCTCAAGACATGTGCGATTTATAATTGCAGAAAACAGTTTGGAAACATTAAAAGTGTCCAAGAATATGTCCAAAATCTTTACCCACATTGACCAAAAGACTGTTCAGATGCATGTCATGATGATGACCAAAATGAAATCAACACGACATCAGGTTGACGTTGTACCCCACCGTCGTGGGGATGTTGCCTTTTGTTTGGAAATGAAAATTGGGTTGACGTCAGAACTCAACGTCAGGCTGACGTCAATGTCCAACATCCAACCTAAAATCAACCAAATATCAACATGTAATGATGTTACAGCTTGATGTTGTATGTTACCCTGTGCATAAATTGTGAACTGCGAGGTCCCGTAACAGATCGGGGTAATGGATCTGGCATGTTAACCAAGGATGAAAAGGTGCCGCGCACATAATCGTGCATGAAAGTGGAGAGCAGGGGAGGGGGTCGCGGACGAAGTACGAAAGTAAAGAGCGTGGGGTTGCCGCCAGATGAAAGTGAAGAAGGTTGGGGAGTTGCGGAAGAAAGTGAAAGTAAACAGCGGACGAGGCAGAAGGGCGGTTGAGGAGGGGAATCGATAAAATGAGGTGTCGGATCTGATTTTAGAGGTTCCGGATCCAGTGTGTTCTGGCACAAATTAAGCCCTAATGTTACCACTATGATATCTATCAGATGTTGGATTTTAGTTGCCATACCCCACAAATAAATGTCAGTATTTGACGTCAATATGGTATTTTGGTATTATGGTTTAAGATAATATTACAATAATAATAAGTAGGGATGTAACGGTATCAGAATTTCACGGTACGGTAATACCCCGGTATGAATGTCACGGTACGGTATTTATTGAATCATTTACAGGAAAAACAAAACTTTTGAAAATACTCCAAAAAAGTGCCAAAAGTGTCAATGACATACAAATTAGTCATCTATCTGTAAGCTTTGAAACAGGAACTTCAATTTTAATAACAAAAAATTATTAAACCATGTAAAAAAATAAAGTTTCAATTTAGTATTGTTGAAAACTCATCACATTCAACATTTAATCACTCACTCACTCACTTAGATAGAGATGGGTTTAAAGGAAAATTATCATATAACTATAATCTGGTAAAAGCTGGTATCTCTGGGTATTTACAATGTCCCCTGCAACAGAAAAAAACCCTCTCATTTGGGACTGAGGATTCTGGGACAGAGATATGACTTGGCCCATGTTGACAGCAGTGGATAACGTTGTGCGTTGTCTTTCCCCCACTTGAGAAGACAAACCATGAGTGAGATAGAGGTCTCTTTGCGGTACAAGTCAATGTCTGCATCAATCTGAACAGTGTGCTGTGTTTCTGCAGTCCCCATGACTGCTATTAGTCGTATTCCCCAACTTGCAGGCACGTGCACACATAGGGCTCAACCTGTGCAGTGCACATGCCCCTTTTAGTCTTGGATAGAAAATGCCCTTCCAAATCGATCAAAAGTGCCCCCGCGACGCACACTCCATTTCCGCATTACTGGATCTGTAGCGACACCAGACCGCAAAGGATTATGGCCACACCTGGGCTGATGGGAAATGTAGTTTAAGCTACCTCCCGTTCGCTTCATTCGCCTGACCACATTTTCTCAGAAGACCTATAGTTTTACCGAGTCATGCGACTTCGGTAATATCGAAAAAAATTAATATTGCGGTATGACGGTATTTACAATACCGTTACATCCCTAATAATAAGTAATGTTGGCTCGACGTTCTATTTTGGTCACGTTCCAACACAACCTAAAATCAACCAAATATCAACGTCATTTGATGTCGATATTAGACATCAAAATAACATTGTCCTTAGATGCTGGCTAGACATTGAATTTTGGTCACCTGACATCACAGCCTAAATCTAATCTAATATTAACGTCTTGTAATTTTGTGTGCCTTCTGGGCAATGACTAGATGCACTACAGAATGTTACGTTCACACACACATGCACAGATTACATGCAAACGCATCAGCTTTTAACAGCATAATACTCACTACTATTGAGTATTTTTAAAAGGGCTACTTTTTATGCATACTTTGAGTAATATTTACGACAGATACTTTTACTCTACTTGCACTACAGTTTTAGGCAAGTAATAGTAATTTTATTTAAGTATGATTTTTCTGTACTCTGTCCACCCTTGATTGGCCAGCAATGGCATCAAACATTAGCATTTGGTTAATTATTATTAAAAAATTAAGGATGTGCCCAAAGACTTTAGAATACACTAGGCACGTCGATCATACAGTTTTGAATCGAGAAAAGTATAATGGTCAATATGGCAGATAAAGCCCTGTTTCTAGTACAGGAGCCAATCAGCGTTCGCTATATACTGAAGATTCTCCAGTTGAGGGGCTTGGACCAGATGTGTGTTTCTGCAAATTTTAATGATTCAAATGTTTAGAAATTAAACAAAAAAAAGACAGTTGTTGTTTAATTTTATTGGTGATTCCTAATATGAAATTTAATAGTAAGCTTGGCAAGCATTTTTTGAGAATTTGATGTTTCCCCATTCAAACAGAATGTTTGCGCATACTGCCCAAGAGGCGTTTCAGAGATGGCCGCCGAGTAAAATGACTTGCCTTAAAGGGACTTTGATGTGCCTAGTTGATAAGATGATGTGTTATAGGCTGCAGTGTCTAACCGTTACTCATAAGTGCTAGCATTAAGATCAGATAAGCAGTCTAAAGTGAATTTTTACCTGTATGGTGATTTATGGCCACTATTTTGGATTGCCAACTTGAAACTGCGATTATGAGTACAGAACAAAACAAAACCCCTCAGTAAGTTTGCCTCTGCTGCACTGACAGCCTCCCTCAGGTCCTAATGCCTAATGCAGTTTAGTACTGCTAAAACATTCTGTATTACCTTATTCAGCACCTGCTGGATCTGCTTCTTAGCCACCCCTTCAGGATGACATTACTTATTATTTTTTTTTAAATTGCATGCCATCGTTTTGCAGACTTAGGGCTCTATTTTGACGGTCAATGCGCAAAGTGCAAATCTTTTTGTGCAGGGCGCAAACACTTTTAGGGCGTCTCAGAATCCACTTTTGCTAATATAAGGACAGAAAAATCCGCTTTGCGCCATGGCGCATGATTCTAAAAGGGTTGAGCTTATTTTCTTAATGAGTTATAGGTGTGTTTTGAGATTTAACCTATCAGAGGCTCATCTCCCATTCCCTTTAAGAGCCAGTTGCATCACACCATAAGCGCATTTGCTATTTGCATGATGTAAAGTAAGTGTAAGTAAAAAAACTGAGCATTTCACTTGCAACAAAACAGTTAAACAGAGCACCTTTAGCGCGAGAATGAGAGATAAGGCATCTCATAATCTACTTTCACTTTCGCTCTTAGATAGGGAAACCTTGTACGCACAGACATCAATTAGCCTATAAACAATTAATTTCATTTGTTAAGTGCAAATATTTGTTTCAAAACTATTTCTAAATTCAGTTCTGATTTCCAGCAAACTAATAAATAAACAATAATAACGAAGTGTGTTAAATCCAAATACACATGCTGGGCCCCATATGGTCTGAAACCTGACAGGTGGACAAATTTAAGCTTGTTTTTAATAAAACAAATATAGATATGGATAATAATAACATTATAATAATAATAATAACATTATACTGTACAAAAGCAAATTGTTATGACTGAACTGAAAAGGCCACCCGAGATGAAGAAGGCATGAAGGCAGAGTTTTTTATATTTATGTAGGCTAGAAAATAATATATTTTGTAATATTTTAATCCTTTATATTTATATCCTATATATATATACTACTAACGCGCTCTGCACTGGAGTTTAGACTAGCTTTGTTTTGGTCTATTGAAAAAACTATTATAGTTTCTCAAAATAGCAATGCGCCTCAGAACGCCTTCCTTTTTAGACCAGAATGCCAATGGGCGCACATATGAGCGCTAATGCATTTCCTATTTAAACAGCATGGCGCAAAACGTCAAAACAACTCTTGTGCCAAGCTGAAACTAGCAAACAACAATTACGTCTTGCCTTGCGCCACATTGCGCCGGGTGTATGATAGGGCTCTTAGAGTTCCATGTGTATATGTAAGTTTCTATGTGCAGAAAGAGAGAGAGAGAGAGAGAGAGCTTAGAAGAGTGATCACAGCTTCCACTGGTGCTTATCGTTAATTATATGGTCAAACCAAAAAATTGGATTGTGACTTTTAAAGGCTTTTGAAAATAAATTACATTTGCCTTTGTGGAACGAAAATGTATTTGTGCCACAACACAATTTAGTCCACATTACAAAACATTTAAATCTTTGAAATGGCTCTGTTCCAATGAATTATAATTTATTGATTATTTTTTTAAAACATCATGTAAAATGAAGTTTGAATGGGGGTTGGTAGTTTCATTAAAAATTAAAACATGTCCCTGTATCAGATATGGCAGTATGGTGTTCCTCAAGGGCTTGTCATTGGCCCAGTTTAGTTTCACATACTGTAAATGTTA